CATCAAAAGAGCAGCATGCAGTATTTGACGTAATTACAGAAGCGTCTCTCCAAACTGGGGCACATTAGTTATGTTCACACAAAACCACCTACATTTTTGCACTGAAATTGTTTTGCTACATGTGCGAGTGTGAGTGTAAACACATATGTTCTAACATAGTTCTGCAATTTCTAGATTCTCACAAAAACTGCCGGTAAATGTGTCAAAAACTTAATTTTAATTATTATTTATTAGCACAGTTTCAGTCACGTAAAGTGAAAAAAAACGAATCAAATGCAACAACAACAACATAACAGCAATGCTAACAAAGTTAATTATATACTAGACAAAAGGAACAATAACAACAAATAAACTGAATAAAATAACTGCATTATTCGATCTGGCATTTCTTGAAGATATCAACCCATTTACGAGTAATGCCTCCTTCATCATTCGCACATAGCATGTCTTAACAAATACAAAAAAAAAAACGCTTTATACAAAAATTAAATTTATTTAATTGCAGCTATTTGATGGCTTCTTCATATTTTGTGTTAACGAAATTTTTTCCATTAATAATACATACTGCACAGAACACAATGTGGCAGAATAATATTCTTTTGCAAAAAAATCTACTAGACTTCATTAAGTATTTGAAAGTTTGTAGCAGCTAAAAGTTGATGAATATTAAATTAGTGGTTAATGCATAATGTAAAGTTGTTACGCACAAATTTACATGGAGAAAAGTTAACTACAGACTTCAATGTTCGTTAGGGATAAATTGTGTGTGTGGGTGTGAGTGGATGCTCTAACGCAAGGCGATAAATAAAGCCGTTAGCTAGGAATTTCCATAAATACTGTAGTGTAAATGTTTATAGAACTCAATCAAGTGTGTAATTGAAGATACACAAAATATTAAGGTTAATATTTGTTTTTCCCCTATTAAATTTCCAAAATTAAATCAAGGTTTCTGATGGTAAAGGAAATAACATTAGAATTTCAAAAATTGGGTAAATTTTGTTTAGTTGTATTTAATGATTCGATTGATGTGCTGTATCTTTGGTAAAATACATAATTGATTGAATTTATGCATGTTCTATAATTTACTTTATTTTTTTATTTGTGAAATATACGGCTTTTTACTCTGAAAGCGATTATTACATTTATCCCTAGCTTTTCTATTAAAAAAATTACTGGAACAGAAAATTTATAGCATAAACCGACCAATTCTATATGTGGATATTTTTATCCTTTTAATTATATTAATTGCAACCAGTAAGAAAAGTAGGTCTGCCAAAGTGGGTCTGGCAGTAAACGGCAAGAAGACCAAGCTGATGGTATCAACGCGCAAGACGTCCTGTAGACTCGGACCAACTGTGGAACTTGAGAACTACAGCTTTGAGGTAGTCAAAGATTTGAAATACCTTGGTACCACCATAAACAAAACGAATGACATCAGTTTTGAAATTCGGAGAAGGATCGTGATGGTCAACAGATGCTACTATGGTCTGAGCAAACAACTCAAAAGTTGCAAGCTACAAGACGCTGATACTACCCGTGTTGTTGTATAGATCTGAAGCATTGGTACTTTCGCAAACAGATGAGACAGTCGGGCTGTGCCGACTATACGATACCCTTCACCACTTTGGGTATATTCTACAAAGTCTACTTACAGACATCGCCTTTTCGAAAGAACATAGACATGAAATTGAACGATCTTGAATATGTGATCTTTATGCCTTTCTGGAACCTGTGATAAATTTCATTTCATTTGGGCAAGTTTTGAGTCGATTGCGTACAATGGGACAAATTTGTGTAAATCGATTTAGAGCAAACTTAATACACGCTATTCAGTAGGCCGCATTCTTCAAAATTTAATCTTAATAAGACTGTCGTTTGGAATATATATATATATATATATATATATGAACGCTGTGTCTGAATCTGTCTCAATTCGATACGATATGCAACGAAGATATATATAGGAGCTATATATACATTTGAACCGATTTTTACGAAACACACATCATTTTAGAATCAATTCGGTACGCTATGCCAAATTTCGTGCAAATCGAAAGACATATATATAGGGACTTTGGTGCACCATTTCTATGAAATCGGATAAAAATATATATGTATCTAAATCTGAACCGATTTTCACGAATCTTAGCACACATCATTATAGACTTTATTCAGTACGCTATGCCAAGGTTTGTACAAATCAAAAGATATATAGGGACTTTGGTGAAACATTTACATTAAATCAGACAAAAATATATATGGGAGCTACATCTAAATCTAAACTGATTTTCAGGAAACTTTACACACATCTTTCTAAACTCAATTCAGTATGCCGTACGAAATTTCGTGCAAATCGAAATATATATTGGGTGTTTGGTACACCATTTGCATTACATCGGAAGAAAATATATATGGGAGCTATATCTAAATATGAACAGATTCTCACAAAAATTAACAGAAACCGATTTTTACGAAACTGAAAACTCATCGTTCTAGACTTAATTCAGTACGCTATGCCAAAATTTGTTCAAATCGAAATATATATAGAGACTTTGGTGCACCATTTACAGTAAATCGGACGAAAATATATGTGGGATCTATGTATACATCTGAACCGATTTTCATGAAACTTAACACACACATTTAGAGAACGTGTCCAACGTTGAAAACGTGTCCAAAACCCCCTAAATACCGAATAATGGGGGGTACTGTTGTGTGGACGCTACCCTGAAACTTGAGCAAATATTATTAATTTTTGTTCCGGAAATGAGCTATACAATGAGAACCCATAATAAAACTAATTCGTTTGAAAACGTCTCCAAAATTCCTAAAATACTGAATATTTGGGGATACCGTTATATGGGAGCTACACCAAAACGTGGAATGACATATTCCATGCCTGTGCAAAATGTCAGTGCTACATATTAAATACTATGACCTCTATCGTAAGTTCAACCGACGGACACACATAAATCGAAACAGAATTTTTCTCTGATCATAAATATTTCGTCATCATAAATGCAAAAAACGTAACTACAGAAAAAATCGAAATTGACTTTTTGTTTCCGTTTGAATTTCTAATTAAAGAAATTCAAACGGACGTTACTGTAGCAAACTTAAGTTCGCATTTATTGATGGGATGTTTGGAATTGAAAATGAGATATATTTTTTACGGTATCCCCCATATAGCGGTATCCCAAAATTCGGTATTTTAAGACCTTTCTTCATTTGAAAACTAATCAAATTTAATTAGGTTTTTTCCCACTGGGTGGAAAAGTACCCTGTGCAAAATTCTATCGCTATCGGAGAAATATTTTATGTCTTTTATGTATTTTATTTTATATACGAAAGTTAGCATGCATCATTCTAGACTCAATTCAGTACACTATGCCAAACTTCGCGAAAATCGAATGAAATATAGAGGCTTTAATCCACCATTTACACTAAATCGGACGAAAATATTTGTGGAAAATATGAGCTATGTCTAAATCTGAACGGATTTTCACGAAACTTAACACACGTCAAACATTTGGTACGCTGTACAAATGTTAGTCTCAATCGGATATTTATTTGTCATTTCGTTGTACTATAATTGTGTTGAAGTTACGTCCTTTTGTTTCAGAAAATATCATTTTAAAAAGACCTAACTGACATAAAACCTTTAAATGCCAAAAAAACATTATTTTTTTCAAACAAAAAATACAGCTCTATAGTGCGGTTAAACTTTGCAAAAATTTCTAGCCATTATTCATGTTAATAGATTTTATAGGGTTTTTTGCTTCTCCTGTAAAATTAGTAAAAGTCTAGTTACGTCCGTTTGCATTTATGGTGACGATATATACTTTATGGGGTCTCCAGTGAATAGGCGTTGCAAAGGGAATGGCAAATTTAATATACACTCCACCCATTGGTCGATAATGGGGGTCCCTTTTACCAATATAAAAATAAAGGCTAGGGGGTGGTGTGAAGTGAAGTAATGTCTATAAATATGGTTTCATTTTTGAGAATATAATTTCAAGCTCTATTAATAGGCATGAAATAGGCATTAGAAAACATTTCAAGGTCTAAGAATAGGCGTGGATGTTTAAAAAATGCAGTTCGATCCTATTAAACAGAAGTGGTGTCTACAAAAAGGCGTCTATTTAAAAAAAATCATGGTTAGTGTGTTGGCTGGTACTTTTTAACGTCTGGCCAAGCTCTATAAATAAGATTTTTTATGTGGGAATTTTTATATATGTTTCATATTGTTATAACAGTTGTTAAGTAATGTAAACAGGCGAAAGGCGATTTTTAAGAATGTTTATTCAAGCGACAGGATGTTTATCAAAATAGAAGTATGACTCATAGGGGTGGTGTTGTATTTAGATCTGCTTTCCTTTCAGATATAATAAAATGTATATATTTTTATAATATTTAATTTTTGATTTTTCTATTTTTATTTACAGGTAAAAATGGGAAATGCCAATAAGGTAACTTTAAGGTAAATTTCAATTTAAGTTTACAGGTAAAAAACAAGTTCTATGTTGAAAATATTTCTAAGAATATCCAAGTTTTTTTTACAATATATATAGTTTACATAGTTTTAATCATAATCGATTAGAAAGTTGGCGATTTTCAAAAAAATCTCTTCGATGATCTTGATCCTTATTCACACGATAGCTATGCACAGTTTCTAGAAAAATTTGTCTAAATTTTCTCTTGAAATTTTACAGGGACATTCGTGAATTAGTATAGGTTCGGAAAAAACTTTTATTTTTTGATCCTCTGGAGAGGGAGTCCCCTTAAATCATACATAATAAAAACATGTCTTCTGAGCAATACTAATGTTCTTGTTAATTATTTTCCTACACATTTGGAACACGGAATACATTTGCACTCTGTATCCTTTGTGACTCTTTATCATCCAAATTAAACATTTCATATTTAATACATTTTGGTAGTGTCTAAGTCGCTTTACTCTCCTCTAAACAAATAACTTTTTTTGTTTCACAACCACTCACCTTCTTCCAAACCACGGCCCAATTCTTCAGATGACAACTTGGGAAAACTAACTTGCAATGTATGACCGTTGAAGAAATTACTCAAACGTTCGATTAACATATTTGTCAATTTGGTATCACGATCTTCACCCGATCTGGATAGGGTGGATTCCAATTCATTTTCACTAGTCAACGGTCGAATATATGGTACAGCTCCAGCACTGGCGGGTAATTTTACCACTTTAACACCATCGGCAATAGCTATTGAATCAATATACGAAATACGATCAATAAAGGATATCGCCTTTTTCTTTAGACATGGCACAAATCCACCATCGGTTCGTGTACATTCATCGTAGATCCGTAGTATGGTACGTGTTCCGGCATTTTGATAAGCCGAGGTGGGTGATGAAATATTCTCTGTGCTGGCATTTATCTGCTGCAGGCAACACAATAAGGATAAGCACAACAATAACACTGATGTTATGTTAAAGGAATTACTGATTGTCTTTTTGTTGATCATGATCTTTGTTTGGTAGTTTGTTTTTATTTTATATTAAAATTTGTTTATTTAATTTTCAACACTTTGCACACTTTGTTTGAGTTTTTGTTTTTGGTATTTTCTTTCACTTTTTTGGTATAATTGTTTGTTATTTTTGTTGCTGGTAATCCTTTGTGTGGGTGGGTGCTTGATCCTTAAAGTGGTTGCAAAAATTATAAAGCACCACAAATTATTTGTATATTTTTACTGGAGTCTACGATTGGAATTCGTTCTCCCTTTTCTTTGATGTGCTCACTTTAGATTCTGTTATAAAACTAATACCGAATACCTTCAGTGTCTATAGTTTATATACGAACATTGCTGAGATGGCCAACAGCCATACCATTCATAACTTTTGAGGAGTTTGAAAAGAAATTTTTGTTTTTTGTTTTGATCGCTCTTTCATGTTTCTCATGTTATCTTCGTCAATGGCAACAACAACATTAACAGCACTTTCTTTGTGTTTGGCGCTTAAAACGTTATTATCATCAAACTCAAACCGCTGGAATTTCTTTGGCTTTTACCCAGCCTTTCAGTCATGTTGTGAACATGTGTAAGCAACTCAAACAATATTATGTTGCATGCCTTTGGCTTAAACTCTGTTAGTTTGGTTACTTCTGTTGTTGCAAATAGAGTTTCAATTGATCGTGCAACTCCATGAGAAAGTTACCATCTTTATGTTTTGTATCGTAGAAAGACATAAATTTTTGGGAAACATAATTTTATTTATTTATAGCAAATATTCATACCATAAATTAATCAAATTTAATTTATCAATGTTAGTCTACTATTAGGAGTAGATCCCATGTATAGATACCCTCTATTATCGATTTTTGAGTACTTAGTGCTAGTTTATGATTGGGTGTGAAATCTTGGTACTAAAAATTATAAATTTTGTCTTAAAATTTGTCTTAAAACCTCATATAACGGGCCATAATACCCTGTACTATATCTTTGTGCAAATGTTCGTAACAGGCAAAAGGAAACGAGATAGACACATGGTTGCTTTTGAGAATATGCATACAATCACTTTCTCAGTCGATTTATACATGTCAGTCCGCCCATCTTTTGGTGTTAAATTGTCAACAAAGTACAGGACGCATTGATAATTCGATTTGAATGAAATTTTGTACAGTTCATTTGTTTGGCCCAAGGGCGAACCCTATTGAAATTTGGCAAAATCTGTTCAGGTTTAGATATAGCTCACATATATATTTTCGTCCGATTTTATGTAAATGGAGCACCAAAGAACCCCTATATATCTTTCGATTTGCACAAAATTTTGCATAGCGTACTGAATTAAGTGCGGAATGATGTGTGTTAAGTTTCGTGAAAATCGGTTCAGATTTAGATATATATGTCCTATATATAGTTTCGTCCGATTTAATGTAAATGGTGCACCAAAGGCCGTATATTTCTTTCAAGTTGTAAGAAATTTTGCACAACGTACAGAAGTTAGTGTAGTCCAACGTGTATCAGTGTCTTGTAGAGTGTGAGTTTGGTCTGCGGGAACTGGCCTTGCTTTTGAGTTGTTAGCTCAGACCATAGTAGCTTCTGTTGGCTATCACTATCCTTCTCTGAATTTAAAAACTGATGTCATTCGTTTTGTTTATGGCGGTACCAAAAAATATAAAATCTTTGACTATCACGAAGCTGTAGTTCTCAAGTTCCACAGTTGGTCCGAGTCTACTGGACATCTTGGGGATTGATACCATCAGCTTAGTTTTCTCGCCGTTTACTGTCAGACCCAATTTGGCAGACTCCTTCTCGATTTGTTCAAAAGTGGCTGTTACCGCTCTCAATGTTCGATCCATTATATCGATGTCATCGGCGTAGGCGAGTAGCATGTGTTTTTTGGTGTACAGAGTGTCATTTCTGTTCACTTTTGCCTCTCGTATAACATTTTCCAGCAGGATGTTAAAAAGGTCCACGACAAACTGTCACCTTGTCTGAATCCTCGTTCGGTATTAAAGGACTCCGAGATGTCTTTTCCGACTTTAACTGCTGATCTTGTGCCAGTTAAAGCTATTCTGCATAGCCGTATTAATTTTGCAGGAATGCCAAACGCGGACATGGCTTTATACACCTCTGAACGGTTAGGGCTGTCGAATGCGGCTTTATAGTCGACGAATATGTGGAATGTGTCGATGGGTCTATCGTGGGTTTTTTTCCACCATTTGGCGCAGTGTGAAAATCTGGTCAATGGTGGATTTTCCAGCTCTGAAGCCGCATTGGTATGGTCCAATAATTTCATTTACCATTGGCTTCAGTCGTTCACAGAGTACGCTGAAGGAGACTTATTCCTCTATAGTTGGCACATATCGTCTTGTCTCCTTTTTTGTGTACGGGACACAGGATGCTGAGGTTCCAATCATTGGGCATGCGCATTCCTCTAGCCAAATTGTACTAATCAGCTGGTACATGCTCCTTACCAGCATCTGACCACCAGTCTCGGCACCTGCTGTTTTATTATTCTTCACTCGATTGATTGCTATTCTGACTTCATCTTGGCTAGGTGGTATTCACCCTATACCGTCATCTGGTTCTGGGGTATCCTCTTCACCGCTACTATTTGATACCAGAAGTTTTTCAAAATGCTCCTTCCAGATCCTCAGCACGCTGTCTGTATCTGTCACCAGGTTTCCTTCTTCATCTCTACAAGAGGATGTGCCTGCACCAAAGCCTTCGGTTTGGTGTTTTACCCGTTGGTAAAATTTTCGCGCTTCATTCTGACTCCTTTACATCTCGATTTGCTCACGCTCACGTTTTTCTTCTTTTTTTTTCTGAAAATACGTTTCTCCTCTCTCCTTTTCTCCCGATAGTTCTCCATCGCATTACGCGTGTTGCTACTGTCCGCAGGGTTGCCCTATACGCTGCGTTTTTTCATATCAGTGGCATTACGACACTCCTGATCGTACCACGGATTTCTTGATGGTGGTATTTGGTACCCTAGTGTTGTTTTTGATTTAGATATAGCTCCCATATATAGTTTCATCCGATTTTATGTAAATGGTGCACCGATCTCCCAAAATTGTTCCGATTGAGACAAAAATTAGCACAGATTGGTGTATGCGAATTTTTGTTGGAATCGGTTCAGATTTAGGTATAGCTTCCAAATATAGTTTCGCCCGATTCCATTTCAATGGTCTTCGAAGGATGCTATGTCTATTCTATCAAAAGGATATTGTACATATGAACATCTTTTGTATGTACCCATATAGTCGGTCCGTCCGAATTTTGAACTTTCCTTACTGGTTTCTTCTTATGTTTG